TTTCTGATTGTGTGACTTACTATATCACGACCGGCAAGTCGTCTTGGATCCCAATTTGAGCAGCACCGGTTGTGCAATGTACACCGCACCATTTCTCATGACTTTACCCATTTTTGCGCGAGTCAAATGCGGTTAAAAACAACGGTGTAAATGGTCCCTCATGGTTCGGATACATAAGCCCTTTATTTGTCGGCGTGTCGGCGTGCATCAGAAGCAGGTGACGTCACGAAAATAGTGTGCTGTGCAATACATACCCAGCGGTGCTCAAACTGGAATCCAGAGCGGCTTGCTCATTGCGATATGTTATACTTTAGCTCCAAATGACCGCGTTTATCACCTTAAACAGTTAAGCACACAAGGAAGCTCCAAGCAAGGTGCCACCGTTAATAGTCCACACATATGACACAAATAAGCTCCACGCCAGACAGTCAAACATGCCACCAAACTTCCTTGGGCTCCTCTCTCTAAAAGACTGTCTGGCGTGACCACACAGAAAATGGGAGGAGAAAGCATATCCAGTAAGTAGCGACGACAACCATCAAAAACTATGACGCATTCAGCAAGAATACGGCGTAGGCAGATGCACGGTTAACAGCCTGAAGACCCGTAGGAATGTGGGTTTCTTTTTAGATCCCGCGTATAGGTTTTCCCTGCCGTTATTGATATAAGCCCTGCAGCCATTATTGATGTATGCCTTGCAGCCATTATTCATATATGCCCTAAAGCCATTACTGATATATGCCCTGTAGCCATTATTGATATATGCCCTGCAGTCATTATTGATCCCAACTGTTTCACGTTCTGTTGTTTATGGGCGTCTGCTATTAACGTCCTGAGGGCTTTACCGGTATATTGAGCATAGAAGAAGTTAAGTGCAAGGTGGAATGACATTTTATTCTTGCCAAAGAATATATTTGAAGTCAAATGTGCATGTAATAATGGTGTTTGGCAGTCGAGCACAGGGTGAAAAAGCTTCTGATTTAGCGCATCTAGCAGATGACAAAAGCTGGGATTTTGCGAGCCATTTGGTGACAAAAGTATGGAAGTGAACGCACATTTCAACAAACCAGAATATATTACAACAGACCATCCCACCTGAGTGAAACTAAAAGCTTCGTACTGGTCTGTACTCGCTAACGCTTGCAGCGTGAGCATGTGCAGATCGCACGTCGAAACGTTAGCGTTTCGCTATATAAGTAAGCTTGGCCATAAAATGCTGCCAAACATGGTGGCTCTAAACAGGATGACATTTTAGCATGTGACAGAAATATACTACAAATTATACTATATTAGTGCTGACGCCACAGATCGTGGGTGACACAATGGTTTTCCAATGCCCCCGAGATCAGTGTTTTCGAAGATTTTTCAGTCAAAATTGACTTTACATACTAAACAGTACCAAATACCAGATGACAAGGCTTATTACTAGTCGTAAGAATCCCAGCTGGCTGCAGCATCTCGCGACAAATGGGATCAGCTCGCCACGCAGCATTTTAAAGCGTCGTGCCATTTGGGACCGATGGGTGCGAATGCTAGCCACGCGGTAATGCATTGGGTTCAGTGCGAGGCTGCGGGCTGCTGTTGATTGCGTTCATGTCGTGAGGAGCTGACTGGGTAGAAGAACGTAGCTAATCATTAGATTTGTTTAGGTGAGAACGTTGAAAAAAACCCTGATAATCTAGGAGAAACGTTGTTTGTGGACACCTCAGCTGTAGTTGCAGAGGTAAACAGGGGACGTTGGAGCGACGCATGTCAAGGATTCATCTGGGGCTTCCTACTGCTGAGAGGAATAATGGCTTCGATGTAAGAGGCCGATCATCGCTCGCGTGGGCCGCTCACATTGTCCGTGGCGTTTCAGAGTTAGCGTACTGATCAGTGGGCAGGCGTGAGGCAACACGCTTCTCGTTCTCATCATGCTGCATATGAAGATAAATCACGGTACTAGAGGTGTTCAAAAATGTTTTTTGCATCTGTTGATACCAGTATTGCACTGGTTTTGCTCTAAATAAATGGGATCGTGTTAGGAAGGGTGACTCTGCACCGGTAACGATTACGCAAAGATAGCAAAGGTCGCTCACGTTTGCAAATGACTATTCAACGTCACGAAACCAAAATTGATGTTGTCTCCAGATGCTTGTAAGACCTCTTGATCGGTAAACGTAGGACTATGCGGATGCAGTTTTTTTTCAAAATACGCAGGGGTACGGAAGGGAGGGGAGGCGGGTGCAGAGGAAAAAATGACTATGATGACTAATGAAAAAATGAATGAAAAAATGACGTTTTTGGGTGCCAAGCCCCCAAAATTATGAATCTAGGCTGGTTATGTTAGGCATGCCTTTTTCTGAAAACTTGTTAGTTTAGTCCCAAGTGTCATTCAGTGTTTGATGACCGGTTAATGATACTTTCGTGCAAATGAGCTCCGGAAACAAAAATGTTTTATAACTATGCCGCCTTTCTCTTAACTTGCTTTTGTTTTTGTGGTTTATCGCATTTAAAGTTGTATCGCAGCAATTTTTAAAGGTTTCGCCCCAGGTAACAGTTAAGACGTTGCCAAATTAATTCTGTGGCGGACAATGCACTTCTCGCCCCTGGTCGAGGACTTCACTGATTAGAATAATCCGGGGCGTGGCGGATGGATCCGCGGGATGGATTGCAGTCAATCAGAAAATTTGAGCAATACATGGATTGGAACCAGCCGCCAGATGAATTGCTAACTGACACTTAAATGTCAGTGGGCATATTGGCCATTTTACGATTGCAAAGCTGGTCCCATGGGACAAATCATAGAACACCGCACGCGTAAAATGGCAAATAAGTATGTGACGATGTAGCCAAAAAGGCTCCGGACTGGACTTTGGCGCCTATTTTGGCGGAGCTGATGCCATTCGGGCAGTGTCGGTCAGGTTTGTTAGTTGCCACACATTTCAGATCTGGTAGCCTGATAAGATTATTGTCCGGTAACTTCAGCATAATGAAGACCTTGGGGCAAGTATGTCCTAGCAGATACCAACAATATCACACGGCGGCGAACAAACTTCTGAATTTCTTTCAACGGACCAGACACGGGTGCCAGTGCTAGGTAATCAAGTGATGTCTAACGGCAATTCAGACACCTTTTCTAATGTTTCAATCTGAGAAGGCACCCGTGCCAACGTATCCATGGCGTTTTGGAACCCAAAAATATCGAAAATATTTTTCAGTCTACTCCTTCTGGCTTGTTTTTAGATAGAGAGTGTTTTGTTTTCTGGCTAGCTGTTTCAAGCGTCTTAGTATAAGAATGCGATGCATCGATACTTCCTCGACATCAACTTACTTAGCATGAGGCGGTGACATATTGTCAGAACCGTTACACCAGCTATTACTAGGCGGTGGGCGTCTGCTCCCTTTGCTATCCTCAGCATATGATAGTACCTATATCACATAGCTACGGGAACTGGCGGGCATGTGGTTTAGTATGATTCGCTGCTTCTAGTGCTGAGAAAACTCGAATGCGCGCCTGACTGAGGTCTTGCACGATTAGATACCCAACATGTGTAGAAGTGCATAACGTACAGGTGCACTGTGCGGTAAAAGCCCTTTCAAAACGTATGCGCACGTTGAATAGTTGGTTCCCTTTAACCGCTTCTTGAAATTGTTTATTTCCATCATAGCCACCCGCCTTAAAGGGACTGCGTCACCTTCTGGGGACAAACGTGTGCTGGTGATACCTCAAAACCAGACGCGTCGAATAAGAGCAGATGAGTGCAACTGCTGCACCAACAAGATATAATACACAGCTCATTTCAGTAAGTTTCCAGTCGACATTAGGTGATCAAAGTTCCTCGGTTTGGAATAGGTGATACGCATACAAGATATTCGAGTGAGGTATTCATTGCGGGCGCCGCGCCTGCGCTCGGGGATTCACGTCTAGCCCAAAATTGGCATGAAATTTCGTATGATAGAGAAGAAAAAACATGAACACCAACAATGAGGCCCTGGGTGCATATGACGTATGGCGTTCGAGTAATGGATGTTAATGTATTAAAAATATGTTAGGAAAGGTGACCCCAAAGGAGTACGTTGCTTTCCAAGAAATGAGCGTGGATTCCAACATCATTTCTTCCGTCGAAACGGATACTTCAAGTCGAAATTCTGCACTTTTCTGAAGGATTTGGGACAAAATTATCATTTCTTACCAAATCGGGTGCGTCTGACACAATTTTTAATAAAAAATGCCGTAAAAATCGTCATAGCTTGTTCAAAAACGTTCATGCTTACCTAAATATTGCATATTGCATCTATTTTTACATATTGAGTGAAGCAAATCATGGCTGCGAGACGCAGTTGCAAAGCACAGAATCCGAACATTTCTGGCACGCTTTTCATGACTCACAGGCTCTTGTAACCCAATGTAAGTGCACAGTGAACCTTCGGAGATGAGTGCGAAATGCGCAAAATAATGTTGAGCCATTGTTGTTGCTTTGCTTTTTTAACGCGGGAGACTAAGAGCATTCGGCATCAAGAAAGTTATCAATTGCAATGAAAAGCAGCCTTCCATACTGTTGTAAACATGACGACCTGGTGTTATTAAAGTGAATTAAGATTACCTTACGAAAATGATATACATGATGTTCGTTAAGTAATTTCAATATGAATAGTATGAATATTTCATCCTTAAAATTTTGATTCTGTGAGCAGGTGTCGTGACCGAAAATTCATCCAAAATACAAATTACTTAACAAATATCGAATCTATCATAGCTCTGAGGAGGTCGTCTTTTCACTTAAATGCTTACTATGCCTCACATTTCACACTACCTGTGCCACCTAAGATTCGGTATCATATTTGAACTGGTTTTCCACGTGCAAACAGGGAAGCTCATTCATTCTGCCAACAGGCAAATGTGTGCTGGGTGGTGTAATTCGTGAAACGTCACGTGACGCCACGACATTGCATGTAAAAGTTACGGTGAAGGTACGGTATCTCGATCTGTGTGGCAGAATGCGGTTTGATCAATTTGAACCACGTCACTAATCCACTCGATACCGGCAGCTCTTCCGAAATCGGAGTCAAAACAGAGAGATGTGTCTGAGTGACACAGAAGAAATGTAAACGATAATGCCCTGATGACCTTTAACTTGATTACTGATATCTTATTGGAGTACTCATCATTGTTTGCGTTGTGTCAATAAGTCAATGAGAGCCGCAAAGTGACAAAAGATGTAGCGGTTACTATCGATAGCACCCAGCCGGTGACGGAAACATTCCCTTGAGTGCTACATCAGCTTCAGTGCCCTCCTTTCTCGTCTTGGAGACCTGCCCTCGCTTTCGACGTATGCTGAGAGGTAGGTACAAGAAGTATTTGCCACGAATTCAAGGCAACTCGAATTTCGTTACATATTTTACTTTACGTCAGATCGGTATTGTATAGTTTTACCAAAAGCTGCAAGCCCTAAGCAAGTACATGTATGGGAAGTTAGGCGGATGAATCATCCACCTGAAATTTGCAACTTTGCCCCTTTTTTGCGGTAGATCAGAAAGTTAATTATCACATAGATATGCCGCAAAAAATCCAAGAATGAGGACTGTGAACCGAAGCCGATTTTCCGTGGCTGTATTTCCGGCAACCTTTTGCGCAACATCTTGCGCCATTCTCCGTGAAATGTTACCTGAAGCCACTAATGTTCTAAATATTTGATGTTCAGTCTTTGGCCTATACAGCTGGCATGCATAAGACTCAAGCAGAGTAATAAGCCGCAATACGAGATATGAAAAATCATGATATTATCTCCACGCCGCACCAGGTTCCATCCGTGATGAATGCATACCTGTACCTCAGTCATCAAATATGGTAGCTCCCTTCGAGCCTGTTACACGTTTATTCATTCACCCCAGTAAGGGAATAGGCAGAATCACGTGCACTGTGACTCCTGGTACACAACTAGCCACAGGCTAGTCGTGTAGTCAAGGGGAATAATCTGAGACCGAAAATGTCATCATATGTCTGCTGTCTCCAGTCTGATGGAGTCACGCGAGCCAGGTCATCATGCACCAAATTATGGCGCGCTTGATCCATGCATGCACCATAAGTTTCGAGTCAGCCACATGTCGAGTGGCGGACGTTTTATGACATTGTAGACGTTGCGCTTATCTCTAATCTTGTCTTGCTTTATGTCTGACTCCTGAAATATTTGAGGTACGCGCAATCAGCGTACGAAATAGATACTGGCAGACGTTGAAAGCACGGCAACAACCGGAGCTCAGCAAACCGAGTGCTCTGCCAGACGACCAAGCGAGGGGAAAGCACCACTGGACTACATCGCAGCTGGAAAATAAGTCTGGTAAGATGACGATGCAATTGAACCATGACGAATGCCCCCACTGATGGGGGTGACGTAACAGCGTTATCGAGCTGTGCATCCAGTTCTGAGGCAATGCAATATCACATTTCGTCTTGGGCACTGGCACGGGGTCGGAAAATCCAACCAGACATTGGTGTTGTCCCCGTGTGGGAAAATCCTGCATGATACTGTGGGTGAACAATCGTAGTCAGTGTTTGTGTACATTGGTGGGAGCAGTTTGTGTTTGGGGGCGCCGTGTATCCCGTGGGGTAAGCCGAGTATGCAAGCATTTGTTGGATTCAGAGCTCAATGAAATAACGTTTTCTTACCACAAACGCACTACATTTTGTAGAATTGCACAATGCAAGCCGACAAGGTCGTAAAATATAACTGATATCGCAAAATGTTCACCGGGAAGAAGCAGCGTTCGGCACAAAAGATGCAAGGAAGAAAGATGATGAACACCTCGTCTACCTTTTCCCGTCAATGATCCACAATGTGCTGCTCCGCTGCTCAAACAAAAGTACCTTGGTAGAACAAAGCTTTGAGACCTGACCTGAGAACATTCTGTCGGACAAGGACCGAGATATACGCCCGTGGGCAGCCAAGGCCCACCCAAAGAGATGCAAGGGCCTACTAATAGATGCGCTGCCAGACTTTAAGCCGTTGTCACAGGTTATTAATCAGTTGGGGTCAGAAACATGGGGCGTTTAGGCTAACATGAAGTCTGAACATTTTGCTTGGATCTTTTTCAGGGATCAGTACCCATGCTACGAAGTGAGCACACGTGGTTGTGCACCAGCCCTGACTCACCATCCGATCATGACATGTCGGGTCAACAGGAGAATTTTGCGAAAAGAGGCCTAATGTGCCTCAGTTCTCACCACTGTATGTTCTGTCTCCTGGCGCCATCTGACTTTTCCGGGGGGGGGGGGGGGGGGAGGGAGGGGAGTGCGCTGTTACCGGCCGCATGCAACCCGGTTTGGGTCTTAATAGGCCATTTTGTCATACAACGCTATGGCCATGATTTCGATATTTCAACGTATTTGCGTGTTTGTGTACGGTATCTATACGATTGCTATTGTACGACTGTTGCTATTGCCATTGCTGACACGATTTTTCAGTGAGTGCTTGTGCACCTGAAAGAACGTAAGGTGCGATTACCACATCTCTCTCTCTCTCTCTCTCTCTCTCTCTCTCTCTCTCTCTCTATCTCTCTCTCTCTCTCTCTCTATCTCTCTCTCTCTCTCTCTCTCTCTCTCTCTCTCTCTCCTCTCCTCTCTCTCCTCTCTCCTCTCTCTCTCTCTCTCTCTCTCTCTCTCTCTCTCTCTTCTCTCTCTCTCTCCTTTCTATATATATATATATATATATATATATATATAGAGATATATATATATAATATATATATATATGAGAGACGAAGTAATACAAGTTATGGATAACATGGTTTGCAGTTTGCTCACGAATGTGTCTGTGCGCGTGTTGGCCATAACGTGTGTGTATGATAGTGAACATAATGAAAAAATAAAAAGAAGGCTATTGTGCCGCCCACCGGCTCCAGTCGCCGTTTCTCTTATCCGGAGTCAACTTTGTTTACCCTGCCCTTGCTAGCCATCTCTTTTCGCCGGCGGGCTGCTGGCATGTGCACTGCCTTCGCTCAGCCGTCACTTCCGTTTGGCTATAATCCTGTGCTCTTTCAGAGCAACGGAGGGAGTGGCCGGAAGCATGCGGCTCGTGGGTGGCGCCGGCGCCGCCGTAGCGCTCGGAGCCCGCTGCCTGCTGCTGTCGGCGGAGCCGACGGCCGCGGCGGTCTCGCAGGCTTCCCTGCAGACAGTGGCCGACTCGCTGAGCCGAGACCAGTGCGTGCAGCTGTACCGCACCTTGAGGCCGGCCGCCGGCCGTCTGGACCGCTCCTGCATCCGCCTGTTGCGCGCCTGGGGCAGACGCGACGGCGATGCCCCCGCCCTGCGCGATGCGCTGCGGGACCTCGGCCAACCAGAGCTTGCGCGGGGCGTCGTTAGAAGTCAGGACGAGCAGGGTTCTGCGCTGATCGCGGACAGCCTGCGGGAAGTGGCGGCGGAGGCTGCAACGGAGGATCAGGAGAACAACGAGGATGATGAGGACAGTGACGACTCTGACTCGCGGCCGGCCGGACGTGACCGGCCGGCCGAACGGGACGGTTTTGGCGCGGCTGGAGTGACTCTCTTGCTCACCCTTGCCCTGCTTCTGGCTGTGTTTGGCTGCTTCTGCGCCGGCCGCGCCGTTTGCCCGGCGCTGGCCGGCTATGATCCCGCCGCGCGCCGGCGACGCCAGCAGAGTGTCTCGAGCCGCGTCGACCGCATGCTGCGCGCCCAGAGACTGCGAGGCAAGCTCGCGCTGGTGACGGGCCTGACATCTGGCGGTAGCAGGGGAAAACACGGGTACGGAGGGATGCCCGCTATAGAAGGCGAACCGTCTGCGGCGACTGACGAGGAGAAGGCACCTTCGATCGAGAACATTGCCATTTGATGTCTGGTCCATGCCTGATGTATGATGGGCTAGCTGAATCATATTAACTTCATGCCTCCGCATCTTCACTGCTCTTCTAACGACCAACTTCGGACGGAATTCATTCGCGCTTTGAATGCTTTGAACACATTGAAAAACCTTCGGTACTGGAACCGCCATAGTAATCATGGGTGGCACTGACTGCGGCTCTTGGCTACCGTCAGCCGCTCCACCGCCTGTCAGTGCGTCAGCAGTCAGGAAGCCGACGCAGATTGCCGGAGGAGCACTGGCCAGGTCCTGCAGGAGAGCGCTGGACGCGATGGAGGGGTACGAGGCGGACAGGCGCGTTCGCGATGCCAAGTGGGTGCATTTAGCGGGTCTTGAGGGGGTAAAGGCAGCCGACCGACTGCATGGAGCAGATCATGAGGCCGCCACCACTGGGGAGGCCGTCCCACAGCCCAGGAGATGCGTGAAGGCGTCCTCGAATCGCTCTCAGCCGAGGAGCCGCATGAGCCCTGCGCCGCCGCCACGGGCCGGCGCTTCGCTCCCTGAGAGTAGTGTTAGAGAAGTTGCCGGTGGGCACGGAGGCTGCACTGGTATCGCACCAGCGTGTCAAACATACGGTGCTCCGTGTTGTGACCGTTAATGTTGCTACAGTCGCACTGGCGTATCGGAACAGCTAGCTGCGATGGTACTGTGAATTGTGTTTGTTTATGTGTTAGCAGTAACAGATGAGGTTGCGTCCTTCGGCTGAAGAGACTAGTTTCTTAAATAATTTTGTCTCACAGAAAGATATAAACCCATGTTGGTTTGTGGAAACGAATGTAGCGAATTTAGAACTCGGAAGGCTGCAAAAGTCATGCAAATTGCAGCGAGCACAATTTTGTCCCGGGCCTAGAGGTGGGTGATGCCGTCACATGAGCGCCGTCTTCAAGACAATGGCCGTGTGGGGCCAGCGTAGGCGGAGATCCCTCGTGAAACCATGAAATTGGTACACACACCCGTTATAAGCTTTCTGCGGTGTGTTCAGTTCCATGGCTAAAGCCATTCACGACTTCTTAAGCCCGCTAAAACACGTATGGTTAACGTTGAGTCGCAATACATGCATTGCAATCAAAAGCGATTCCAATGTCTGCCAGTGGTGCCGTAGACTGATGTCCTTTCCGTGATACTGACGATCAAAAGCGATTCCGATACCCTCCAGTGGTGCCGTAGACTGATGCCCTTTCCGTGATATTGACGATCGAAAGTGATTCCAATACCTGCTGGTGGTGCCGTAGACTGATGTCCTTTCCGTGATATTGACGATCAAAAGTGGTTCCGATACCCGCCAGTGGTGGCGTAGACTGGTGTCCTTTCCGTGATATTGACGATCAAAAGTGATTCCAATACTTGCTGGTGGTGCCATAGACTGATGTCCTTTCCGTGATATTGACGATCAAAAGCGACTCCAAAACCTGGCAGCGGTGCCGTAGACTGGTGTCTTTTCCATGATATTGACGATGCTGCAGGAAGGAGATGAATACATTGCATTACACGGTAAAATCCGGTAGTTGAACAGCCTATGGAACAACAGCCAAATGTCAACCTCAAGATCGGTGACATTCTATGCCCCAGACCTCCTCACGCAACTGGCTTTAACCTAGATGCTTCCCCAAACAAAAGGCCACTCGGAGTAATTGCAGATCAGTGGCTATCTCTGACATTTTGAAGATTGAAATGATCATAAGGCATTGAAATTATTTTGATATGTGAGTCGAAAATCAGCGTCATAAATTATCCCAGGCGGCATGCTCCCAAGTAGAAGGTTGATCGAGATCTAATTAGGTCAATGACTTCCCCGACTTTCATGAATTTGAAATAAAAGTTTCCTGGTGTAAAAAGTGGTTTGCTTTTGACCCTGACCGGACCTCATTGCCTGACTCAGTGTCAGTGCAAATAGTTGTCATCCTATCTGCAATCGTTGATTTGTCTTAGAAACCTTTTCCAGATTTATATGACTTCGATGATGTCACACTATATCTTCGATGATGATGTAGCACTCTGTTGTCAAATCAGTTTGAACGACTGCCTAAGATGCGTCTTCGCTGACGACCGTGGCCTGCCTTTGACCTGCTACAGGTCACAGACTTCAACCTGTATATCCAATGTTCCAGGGCAAATGTTGGGCTTTTTAATAGCCACAGGTATACGAGGTTTGACGTCGCCACACTACACCGTTCAAATTCATTCTGGACAAAACAACTTGGGAAGTTCAGTTGGTCTATTCAAACAGGTTGCCAGAGGCCCCAGTGGCGCTTGAGGACTTCTTTAAAACTTTGTCGAAGGACCCTCTGCGATCTGGATATCTAACATTGTTGTCAAAAGGTGTCGCAAAATCTGGGATCTTTGCTGTGCTGTCAAAGAAGTCCGTCAAGTTAGGACATATTGTAGCTCATGCGCCGACTCACGATAATGGTTTTGTCCTTAGCTTAGAGATGCCGGCGCCAGTGCACGGGAAGTAAGATTTGGCTTTGATTTCTGAAGCACGAGATTTGGTAGTTACGTGATTGCTCAACAGGACGCTCCTTGCACTGTCTGCTTTAACATTTTGAAACCTGACAGTTTTGCAGGTGGACAAACCGGCTTGTTACTGACTGACTTGCTTATCACAACGTTCTATGCGTCGACGTCACCGGGACCGGGACTACCACCACCGGGACTACCACCAGGACTGCCACCGGGACTGCCACCGGGACAACCACCAGGACTACCACCAGGACTGCCACCAGGACTGCCACCGGGACTGCCACAAGGACTACCACCAGGACTGCCACTGGGACAGCCACCAGGACTACCACCATGACTGCCACCGGGACTGCCACCGGGACTGCCACCGGGACTGCCACCAGGACTGCCACCAGGACTGCCACCAGGACTGCCACCAGGACTACCACGGGGACTGCCACGGGAACTGCCACGGGGACTGCCACCGGGGCTCACCGGGACTGTCACGGGGACTGCCAACGGGACAGCCACCGGGACTGCCACCGACGCTGACACCAGGACTACCACCGGAAATGCCACCGAGACTGCCGCCAGGACTACCACCGGAGCTGCCACCGGGACTGCCGCCGGGACTACCAACGGGGCTGCCTCAGAAGTGCTCCTGGCATCGCACCCGGCCCTAACACTGATTTGAATCACCACGAATCTGGTAAGCATTGAACCCTTGCCTGAAGCGAGCGCAAGCTGGGCCATGTTCTTTTGCACTGGACCGGGGAGGATGGGAAGCAAAGGCATTCAGAGCAGCTCTTCCGGATAACGTGGTCAGTAGCGTACTCTGGACCAGCACTGTTTGATTGCGCCCTCAGTTTCACCTGTATCTGAATGGCTTGTTTTTTTTATGCGTTAGCGGTGTGCTGTGAAATATCGGGTCACACCGGCGCGTGGTCGTTTCGCAAACATCTGTTTAATCATCATGGTCACACACATTAAGAAGTGGCGTTTATTCGAAGTGAGCATGGCTGCCATTCAATCAAATATTCAAACCATCAGTCGCGTACGAGAACCGCCGAGCGATTCGAAGTGAAACGGAACAGATTGTGCACTTGCTGTGTGAACCAAAGTCCAACACTAGTCAAGCGCGTTTAGAGGCATGCCATCATGAACTGCAAACCAGACCAGTAGCCAGACACAGGGAGGCACGCCAGTAGCGCTCTGGAAAAATTGTGTTGAATGAAAGGCGCATAATTAGACAGAGCACTAAAAAAACTGCTGAAAAGCACATACATGTCATGCGGTGAGGTACGTGTGCTGCGTGGCGCTGTGCTTTGTTCACTACAGCGTGTTTCAGATTGACCAAGTTGGTTTTGCTTCAACTATCAGTTTCAATTCTGCGACAGGGTACTCGAACCCTGATGCATAGTTATCTGCTGTCTAGCATCCACGTATTTTTGGTGGAGATGTCTACTATGTATTGGGTGTTGATGTCACACATTAGCTGGGGTGGCAAAACGGACCGGTATTCAATTATAACTTGCAGAATGGTAACTTCAGGGTGCTCTCCAGCGCTCCAAAATTCTTTAACTCCTTACAACCCGCTGCGCTTAGCCCCGGAAACCCCGGAGAACTTTGGACAGGATGCGTGAGAGGTGCCTGTCGATCAGCTTGTGCAGTTCGCTTCGGATTCTTGCAGTCAGTTGGCGCTTTCCAGTGACCCACCACCTGCGAGCTTCCCGCTCCAGGCGCCTGCGGGCCGGGTTCCCGAACAGCCTGTTGAAGAAGCCCAGGATTCCCCTGATTCTCGGTCGTATTTCGATATCGGGCAGGCGTATGTCGATCGTTGTGTTCTTTGGTTTAACCGTCAGGCGTCCTTTCCTCCTCGACACCTGCAGAGTGGTGGCAAGGCTGGCAGACGGGTTCCTCAGCGTGATGCGTGGTCGAGCACGGACAGTTATGCAAAACTTCCTGAAGAAGATTCTCCTACAGAATCTGCGCCTGACATTCATATTGCCCTCGATCCTGGGCCAAGACACGGCTAAATCCAAAGCAATTTGGTTGAAGGGCGGTATCCGGACGCTCAGACGACTCAGTCTAACGTTAGCGAGGCCCGTGACGGTGATGCCGCTGACGGACCAGCCGCCGATGTTGAGGTCTCTCAGCCTCAGCGGGTCGAAGCGCGCCCTCAGAGTCGGGCGGAAGGCCTCCAGGATGCCCCTGACACATTGGGTCAGGGAAGCTGAGCTTCGCAGGCTGCACTGGCTCCGCGCTTCTGCGTGCAGCACCAGCACGGCCAGTACGCAGAGCGCCGGCCGTAGTATGGCGGCGCGCATGGCTGGAGTTCAAGCGGCGCAGGGGCGCCGGAGAGCCGACCGTTCGAGACGGTGCCACCGTGCCTCCGGAATGCTACATCGCCGCGGGAGCAGAGAATATATACACAGCGCAGCTAGGTGGTCACATGTGGGCAGCATGCGCCTGTGGGGTCTCCATATGCAAGGTGCATGTGTCAGAACCATATTGCAATTCAAATCACGCAAATGTGCCAGCTTATAATTGTGCCATAAATCAAGACGAATGCGGTCATGCCACATTCGGCTACATCTAAATGAGAACACACCGGTAGAACGTCGTAAAGAGCGTTCTTTTACTAGCGATACTCCCCTGAAGAACAAACTGCCTACATTCAAAGGCCCCTTCGACGAAGAGATACCAAGTACCTTGGTGTCGGGGCATCGTTAACTTTATTTTCTACAGCCACCCGGTTGCAGGAACATCACGGCGGAGCCCAAAC